CATTTTTCTGCAGTGGCTGAGCACAGTAGTCATGGTAAAGACACACTCTTGTGGGATAACCGTAGAGCTTGCTGCTGCCTGGCTATGGCAAGGCCTACAGCTTGCATCGGTCCCATCCTGTGCTCAGCAGTGAAAAAGCTCACTTGCTCGTCCAGGCATCTATCTACTCACTCTCGCCCTTCGGAGGGCTGCCATTTTCACCGCCCAACGCCTCTTTTTTTTGCTACTGCTTTTTGAAAGTCTTTTCCTGTTTGCTTTGAACTTCAATAAGAACAGAAAAACAGGTGATTTTTTTTTTTTTTTAAACTTCCTTTTCAAATCCTCTCTCATCTCTCAAGGCCGATTGCCACATTGACTCTTTGGAGTAATCCTTAATGGGAATCTCGATTTCTTCCTGTAGTTAGTTTCAGTCAGTTACTGAGCTGTTACTCTATTCCGAAGTACCCCATTAGACCTCCAGTGCTGACCACTCCTGGGAAAGTGTGGAGAGCCTGTCAGACTAGGGTGGTGTGGAGGCAGGGGTCGTCATTTTCTGGGTCTGCCCATTCCTGCATCATTTCTTCTATTAAATAACCTGGTTGGCTGTGAAAAGTGATTCTTCACTGATGCTGCAGACAATGAATAAATAGCCATTGGTTCTCTTAGTTTCTTGTCATCTGATACAAGGGACAAACTCTATGTGTCCCTATTTCTGAGAGGTTCAAAGGGAACAAATGCAAAGATCCTGGTACAGAACGACTTCCAGTTCCTAACTATTTGTCTGGTGCATTCCAGATCCCCGTCCCGGCAAGAGACTGCTCTTGTGGTCACGGCTGTGCTCAGAAACTCAGCACCCAAAATGGAGGGAGGGAAAGGCAAACCCAGCTTCTTCCTAAGCTGCGGGCCACGGCTGGCAAGTTTTGCCTTCCCTGCCAGCCAGAGTCCTGACTTTGGGGGTCCTGCTAGTTTTCCCAGACTAAAAGACTGGAGCTGACTTCTGGTTCTCAGAGAAATCCTGCCAAATACCTCCTCTTCCCCCAGCATCTATTTGTTTTGAAGGCTCGTTATATAATTAACATGCAGGCTTCTTGCCAACAATTGTCGGGAAACAAATTGAGTTGTTTGCGTGCCGAGATGGAAACTTTTACAAACCTGAAACAGAGCCCAGACTTGAACCAGAAGTACTGGGTCTGAGTCCTCCGTTAGCAATTCTTAACTGTGGGTTCTTGGGCAAGTCATTTCTCATACTCTGTGCTCAGTTTCCCCAGCTGTAAAAAGGGCAGTAATAACTCCTCATGCGTAGGTTTATTGTAACTACCAAGAGGTGATATATGTGAATGAACTTTGTAGAAGGCCAGGCAAGTGTGAGCAAGGAACTTGTAAATAACCTTCTAAGGGTAGGTACTTTCACTTAACATTTTTATGAATGATTCAAAAGGTGAGAGAGAGAAGCAAATTTTCTGATTTACAGAAAATATTAAAATCTTTTAGGTAATGAAAGACTCGAAGAGATACATTTTAAAAATCTGTCTTGAAGCTGAACAGATGTTTATGGTTTCCTTCTGCTTTGACATGCCAGGATTCTGTAGGGTTGAAGCATCTGTGGATATAGTCAACCATATGATCCCACTATGGCCTTGACTGTCAGAATGTTAATTACCTGTGCGGTTCAGGAAACATGGATCTTTATTTTAATAACTACTAGTGATGTTTTTTCTGAGGGCCTTGGGTTCTTCCCCCTTTGGGCCAAGCTAAGTTCCTGTAAAGCTCCTGGGTATGACCTGCCTGAAAAGCCTGTCCCAGATAACCATCCACACAGTTCACACTGATACTTCCATCAAGTCACTGCCCAAATGTCCTCTTACTCAGTGGCCTTCCCAAACCACTCTTTCTACAACAGCGCTGTTACACTTCTCAAACTCTCCATGCCCCCTAAACTGGCTTTATTTATTTAAATAGCATTTATCCCTATACTTCCATCAAGTCACTGCCCAAATGTCCTCTTACTCAGTGGCCTTCCCAAACCACTCTTTCTACAACAGCGCTGTTCCACTTCTCAAACTCTCCATGCCCCCTAAACTGGCTTTATTTATTTAAATAGCATTTATCCCTCCCTGACATATTGTATATTTCTTTCTTTATTACCCATCTCCCCCTAATTTTGTGTGTCAACTTGGCTGGGCCATGGCGCCCAGATATTTGGCCGAACATTCTGGATGTTTCTGTAGAGGTATTATTTGAATAAGATTAACATTTAAATTGGTGGACTTTGAGTAAAGCAGATGATCCTCCATAATGTGGGTGGGTTTCATCCAATTAGTTGAAGGACTTAAGAAAACAAAGACTGACTCACTTCCCTGAGCAAAAAAGAATTCTGCCAGCAGACTGCCTTTGGACTTGAACTGTAATTTTTCCCTGAGTTTCCAGCCTGCTGGCCTACCCCATCAGATTTTAGAAGTGCCAAGCCTCCACAATTGCATAAGTCAATTCCTTGAAACAAATCTTGCTTTCCATATATACATATATGTACAAATTCTATTGGTCCTATTTTTCTGGAGAACCCTGACTGAAAACCCCACTTGCATATTAAACTCTATGAGAGAGACTTGATCTGTTGACTGTTCTGTTCCCAGGCATCTGTCAGATACATAGTAGGTACTCAATAAAGTATTTCCTTAATTATTTGGCTAGTGTATTAACTAATATTTTCCCCAGCAGACTATACAGTCAAGGTTTCTCTTGGCTTTTTAATCTTTATTATGATGAAGATTTAAAATAATTTTTATTCTTCATTTTATTTTTTTTCTATTTGGTTATCAAAAAATAACCAAATACAATATAAATTCCTTAATTTATCCACATTTCAGATTTTCGATATAACCTATTTTCTGGCCTTTTCAGCTTTTCTGAAAACAAAGACGAACACCATTCAGAGCATTTAGTTTTTGCATGTTTCCTGTCCTGATACGGTAAGAATGCCCCAGTTTCTACCTGGAAAGTTTGAGTTAATTCTTTGCATTCTGCAAACTTGAGTTAGTGCAAAGATTTAAAAATACAAAATATATGGAGCTCTGTTTGCATTACATTGTGAAATATTCACAACATGCTCTTCAGATCCATCTTTCTTTTTTTACACCTGACATAAGTCTTTGATGCTGAAATAAGGATGACGTTTTTCAAAAATTCAACTCTGTAAAGCAGGTGTGATTAAACATGAGATGAAATTGGTGCTGGCATCTCCTGGGATATTTGTGTCTCTTTATGGCTCTCTGCCTCTGACTACAGGTTTCACATTTCTCATATTCTGAATGAATTTTGAATAGTAGATTTTGATTTCCAACCGAAAGCTTCAAAGCTGAACCAAATTGAATTAGGGAATTCTTTTAGACAGACAGCTCCAGAAAGTTGAGTATATGCACATTTTTTTTCCAGTAATATCACTAATGGTAACAGTTCATAAATGTAGACTGTGCTGCTCCTCTGAGTACTTGACTATTTAAACTAGGAATTATGGATCAGCTCATTGTACTGTCTCCTGAAAACTGGGTTAAATTACCATACCAAGGAGGATAGGGCCCTATACTCATAGGGAACACGTGAACACGCACACATATCACACAATTGGGTATTACCCCTGAGTGCCTTTGGCGTGTCAATTTGGGCTAGCCTAATCCCTCTAAATCCCTTCCCTTTGAGTTTAAATATGGGTTATTTTCTTTAGTTTCTAGGGATAAACTATAATTAAAAGAGAAGGAAAGCAAGTAATATTTCACCATTAAATTTATTCTTCATAGCAATTAAGGTGGCTGGCAACAGAAATGAATTGCTCCTACTCAGTTTGGTTGTTTAGATTCAGTTTTGATTACCTGTTGCGCACAGGACTTAGTGATCTCTTCTAGCTACAGAGGAAGTTTTACACTGCTTTGAGAATTTTCACATGCTGACAATGTGTGGAATGCTAAATGATTAGTATAATTAATCCCTGACTGTCAAATAGAATTTTGAGGTAGTTATGGAATAAGGAGTCCTAAAAAATTTGAATGATTTTCATTTGTAAGCCCCTCCCATCTTAGCAATTACCCCTTTGGTATACTTCCAATCAAATTACTATTTCCTAGAGGGTACAATTCAGTTACTATTAGCTAGCTATTGATTCTCTGATCTAAAAGAGGGACAAATGTTAACAATCAATATTGCTCATCTTTGTATTCTCAGAGCCTGACACATAGTAGGTGCTCAGCAAATGTCTGTTGGATTGAAGAGGCAGTGGTTGGGTAATGAAGCCAGCATATTTAGGTTAACAATCAATATTGCTCATCTTTGTATTCTCAGAGCCTGACACATAGTAGGCGCTCAGCAAATGTCTGTTGGATTGAAGAGGCAGTGGTTGGGTAATGAAGCCAGCATATTTAGGCACAGTTCTTTTTGTCTGTGTACCAGCCCAGTTGCTTCTTACATACAATTGTTCATATATAGAAAGTAAGCTATATTCTGTGTTAAGTTCACTCATCTTTGGATATAGGAAAAGACCACTATGATAGGAGTTAGGAGACTTAGGTCAGTCCCATTTCTACCCTCTGCTAGTGAGTAACCTTGGACAAATCATATTGTTTCTTGATATTTTGGTGTCATTTTCCCTCTTAGAAGTCTAAATATTAGAAATACATCTTAAAACACATCTATCCCAGGAGGAAAAGTGGACAACCACATTCTCTATCCCTTCTTCCTCAGTCAGAGGCCCTGTGCTATCCTGTGAGCTGAAGTGCATCCAGGCTTTGGTGACAAAGGGGGAATGGCTAAGAGGGAAGAAGTGGGGACTCCTTTAGCTGTGACTTATATGTATGGAACATTTAGTTCTCTTGACTAAGAAGATGCCAGTATTATCACTATAACCTACAGTAAGGAAAAAATAAGATGTGCCATGAAAACTATGAAAAATGACCTTGAGAAAACAAAACTCAGAACTAATAATTTTAAAACAGTTTGATGATTGGCAACAGAATTTACATATTTTACATAAGATGAGTGAAAGGTCAGTGATTAGCAAAGACTTGTACCGAGACGAGAAATCAGGCTTGGAAGGCTTTATCTGTGCCGGCAGCAGCATCCCCACACAGGCAGCATGGGGCGGCGGGAGGCGTAAGTACAAGACCCAGCCTGACCTTCCCCCTGGGGGTTGGGCTTATATTTCATGTGTGGTGAGTTGTGTTGTTCTGATTGGCCATAGCTTATGTTAATGAGGAGTTAAACGAAACATCCAATGGGAGTTGTTGAGGCCTTATGTTAATTAGGTGATTATTAAGTGTATGATTATTGGTTCCCTTAGTATGTAAAGTAGGGTTTCAGAGGGGGCCAATGGCATGGAGTTCTGTTAGGGGTATGAGTTCCTTTGTCTTTTTATTTTATGGGGAAAGCCCATAGGTTGAGAACTGCCATTTTGAGCATTTTTGACCATCTTAAGTGGTCTTCCCTGAACCTAATAATGAGAGATTATTTGAATTTATGTTTAGAGAGACAAAAAATAAATACTTAGAAAACTCAAGAAAGGACTCAACCAGGGATTACCCTCAAATGTTTTCAGCTTTCATATATATGTGTGTGTGTGTGTGTGTGTGTATATATATATATATATATATATATATATTTTTTTTTTT